CGTCCGATTGCGTTACCTGCTAGGAGAGTCCCATTTGCGCTACGTGACCGATTTTTCGCGGAATTGAACAAGCTGGTTATGCAGGGTGTGATTGCAAAGGTTGATAAGCCAACAGACTGGGTTATCCAGGCCGCAATCATTACGAAGAAAAATGGCGAACTAAGCGTATGTATAGACCCGAAGCCACTGAATGAGGCTCTGCGTAGAGAACATTATGCGCTACCGACGTTAGAAGATGTTTTACCACGTTTGACAAAAGCTAAGTTTTTCACGAAAGTAGACCTTTCCTCCGCATTCTGGCACGTTGTTCAAGACGACGAATCCAGTTTCCTCAAAACATTTGCTACACCGTTCGGACGTCATCGTTGGCTGCGATTACCGTTCGGCCTGAAGGTGTCTAGCGAAATTTTCCAAAAGCGTTTGGTGCAAGCAATAGATGATTTAGATGGCGTAACCTGTGTGGCAGGTGACCTTCTGATTTACGGTTTTGCCGAAGAAGATCATGACACTAAGCTACACTGGTTCCTGAGGCGTTGCGTGCAAAAGAATATTAAGCTAAAACGCGAGAAAATAGAGCTGCGGAAAGAGGAGGTGATTTTCCATGGGCATGTGTTAACATCCGACGGAATCAGGGTTGACCCAGGGAAGATTAAGGCGATACAAGAGATGCCGTCCCCTAACGATGTGAAGGCAGTCCATCGCCTAAACGGTATGGTGAATTATTTAAGCCGGTTCTTACCAGGACTCGCTGATGTCATGACTCCGATTAGGCAGTTAACTCACAAAGGAGTAAATTGGAGCTGGGGGAAGGAACAGGATTATGGCTTTCGAAACCATTAAGAACCTTATCAGTAATGCGCCCGTACTCGGATACTACGATCCAGCACAACCATTGGAGGTACAGTGTGATGGTAGCCAGAGTGGAATAGGTGCTGTTCTGTTGCAGAACGGAAGACCTTTGGATTTCCGCAGTCGAGCACTCACCGAGGCCGAGAAGCGGTACGCACAGATCGAGAAAGAGAGGCTGGTAGTGGTCTATGCCATGGAGCGTTTCAATGATTATACTTTTGGAAGAAAGACAACCGTGTACACTGATCATAAGCCGCTGGTGTCGATAGCCACTGAACCACTGAATAACGTTCCTTGCCGTCTTCAGCGTATGCTTATCCGGCTCCAAAATTATGACATTGACATTGTGTACACATCTGGCACACAGATGTTCACCGCGGACACCCTGTCGAGAGCACATCCGCCAGTGGCTGAACATCATCTAGAAGAGATCGAGACAGCTAGCATGGTGCAGCATCTGGCAGTGAGAGAAAACCGTTGGAAAGACATAAGGCGTTTCACGGAGGAAGACCAAACTTTTGCAGCTTTGCGAGACGTTATCCTCAATGGGTGGTTAGAAACAAAGAAGCAGCTCCCGAAAGAATTAACACCCTACTTCAATTTTCGGGACGAACTCACTGTCTGTGACGGTCCGTTGTTCAAAAGAAGTCGAATCCTAATCCTTTCTTCTCTCCGAAATGAGATGCTGGAGCATGTCCATCGCGCTCACCTGGGTGCAAATTACACCATTAATCGAGCAAGAGAACTGATGTTCTGGCCAGGAATGACAGGTCAGATCAAGGATCATGTGTCTAACTGTGAGGCGTGCCGTTCACACGACATTCGGCAAACGAAGGAACCGATGATGCTGCATGATGTTCCGGACCGACCGTGGCAAATGGTAGCAGTGGATCTATTCCAACCAAACCAGTCCCTATCACAGTCAATCAAATGGGAAGGCAGAGTCGGCAGTGAAGCAAGTCAAGCGACTATTAGCGAAGGCTAGAGATACTCGGGAGGACCCATACCTCATGCTACTGGAGAGTCGCAACACTCCTTCAACGGATATCGGCCTGAGCCCAGTGCAGCTCCTATGCAGTCGAAGGACCAGAACTGTGATGCCTGCATCCGCAACACTTCTGCGCCCTGTCACGCCACAACTTGAGAAAGTAAAGAACCGTTTGAAAAGGCGAATGGCTACTCAAAAATGGTACTACGACAACGGCGCACGGGAATTACCTGAGCTGACAGTGAGGGAAGAAGTATGGGTTGAACCAATTCCCGATGGACAGGAGCGGTGGAGAAAAGGAGTCGTGGCTGCGAAAGTCGGTGAAAGGTCATCCGAAGTAAATGTTGGAGGGAAGAAGCTGAGAAGAAACCGAGTACAGCTGAGGAGATGTCCGAGGCGACAGCATGAATCAAGGAGAGAGCGTTATACTGTTTGCGGCAATGAGGCCACATCGGTAAATCAAACAAAGAGGACGCGGAGTGGTAAATTGTAGGGACTATTTAGCAAAGTACAGCAGCAAGAACATGAAAAAGGGAGGATGTGATGGGAGTGTACACTCGAACGAACGTGCGGTGTCAGCCCAGCAAGGAAGCCGTTAGGCTGCCGCAAGGAAAGGCGGTGGCTGATTGGACGTTCACACGTTTCTCGCATGCACGCTGATTGGCCAACAG